TCGTCAAGCTCTTCGAAATCATCTTCTAGTTCTTCTTCGTCAAGTTCTTCGTCATCATCGTCGAGTTCTTCCTCGAAACCATCTTCAAGCTCTTCTTCGTCAAGTTCTTCTTCGTCAAGCTCTTCCTCATTGTCAAACTCTTCTTCAAAATCATCATCTAGCTCTTCCTCCTTGTCATCGTTACCATCGTCAAGCTCTTCGTCATCATCGTCGAGTTTTTCCTCAAAACCATCTTCAAGCTCTTCTTCGTCAAGCTCTTCCTCCTTGTCGTCATCGCCATCGTCAATCTCTTCCTCGAAACCATCTTCAAGCTCTTCGTCAAGCTCTTCCTCATTGTCGAGCTCTTCACCGATATCTTCAAGCACTTTCTCATCATATTCATCCTCGTCGTCATCATCATCACCAAGCTCTTCCTCAAAACCACCTTTGAGCTCTTCTGTGATACCATCACCAAGCGCTTCCACTTCAGTGTCCGGTTCATCCAGATCCTCTTCTATTTCAGCGTCAGACGCTTCTAGCCCTCCTTCTCTAGTATCGAGTTCTTCTAGTTCCTTCACTCCAGAGTCGAGTGCTTCTGGCTCCTCATCCGCTTCTGTATCCAGTATTTCTAGCTTATTGTCTGCTCAATTATCAGGTACTTCTAGTTCACCCACTACGGTGTCGAGTGCTTCTAGCTCCTCGGATTTAGTTTCGGGTGTTTCCAGCTCCTCTTTCTCGATGACAGATGGTTCCAGCTCCTCCGTTCCAGCGCTAGGTGCTTCAAGTTCCTCTGCTTCAGAATCTGGTGCTTCTAGCTCTTCTCCAGTGTCGGTTGCCTCTAATTCATCCGCTACAGTGTCAGGTTCTTCTAGTTCCTCTTCTATAGCTTTGAGTGCTTCCAGCTCCTCTTCCTCAATGGCAGGTGATTCTAGCTCCGCCGCTTCTGTGACCGGTGCCTCTATTTCCACCACCTTAGTGTCGGTCACTTCTAGCTCTTCCTCCGACCCAGCGCCTGGTTTTTCTAGCTCAGCTCTAATTTCAAGTGCTTCTAGCTCCTCCTTTCCTGAATCAGGTACTTCTGGTTCTTCCTCTACTCTGGTGTCGGGTCCATCAAGCTCTTCTCCTCCAATATCAGGTGTTCCTAGTTCCTCTGCTCCAGTGTCGAGTTTTTCGAGCTCCTCTGCTTCAGTGTCGAGTGCTCCGAGCTCATCTGCTCCAGAATCAGATGCTTCTAACCCTTCTTCTTCTGCGTCAGGTGCTTCGAACTCTTTCTATACTGAATCAGGTACTTTTAGTTCCTCCGCTTCAGCATCTGGTGATTCTAACTCTTCTGATCCAACTCCAGGTGTTTCTAGTTTCTCTACTCCAGTATCAGACGCTTCTAGCTCTCCTACTCTAATTTCCAGTAATGCCAGTTCCTCCACTTCAGTGTCGGGCTCTCCAAACTCCTCCGCTTCAGTACCGGTTACTTCTAGCTCTTCCTCCGCTCCAGCGTCTGGTGATTCTAGCTCAGCTCTAGTTTCAAGTACCTCTAGTTCCTCCTCTTCTGAATCAGGTACTTCTAGTTCTTCCTCCTCTCCGGTGTCAGATGTTTCTTCCTCTGCTTCAGTGCTAGGATCTTCTAGCTTCTCAAATTCAGTATCCGGCACTTCTAGTTCCTCCACTACAGAAGCTGGTGATTCTAGCTCTTCTAATCCAACTCCAGGTGTTTCTAGTTTCTCTACTCCAGCGTCAGATGCTTCTAGCTCTTCCGCTCTCATTTCCAGTGATTTCAGTTCCTCCACTCCGGTGTCAAATGTTTCTTCCTCTGCTCCAGTATCCGGCACTTCTAGTTCCTCCGCTCCAGCGTCTGGTGATTCTAGCTCAGCTCTAGTTTCAAGTGCCTCTAGT